TAAATATTGCAATACAAATAGTTTGTTAAAATTAGGACTAATAAAAAATTAACATTGTCAAAATTCCTGAAATAATTTCATAAGTAATTAATTTTTAAAATGTTGTCATCGGTTGTAGCAGATATGTAGCAGATTGTAGTTGAGCAATCAGACGTCATTCATTTTTAACAGAATGATCAGAAATTTTGCTTGGTAAAATGATAAATGGGTGAATGTATAAAAACTAAGTTTAAAAAATCAGATGTCACAATGCCATTTTTTGATTGTTTAATTTCTGTCATATCAATACTAAAATCACCCAGTAAGAAAACAGATTTAGTTTCATCATATATTTTCTTATAGATACGATTTATAAAAAGCATTCATATCCTTACAAAGTTTTCTTAAATGCAACCATCAATAGTATTAGATATTTATAGTGAATATTTTTGCAACAAATGATGTGGATACAGTTTTTTGAATAATATACTGCAAGTAGATTAAGTTAGTGTGTGCTCATTGTTGTAATTTTTATTAAAAATTGAATGAAAAGAAAGTTTTTCACTTTTAAATGTTATTTCCTGAATTTGTTATCTGGTACTTTTGTCAATCCAAAACCATAATAGTAAATATATATAGTAGTAATAATATATCAACTTGATTCTCTGCACAGCGGCCTTGTTTTTCAAGGTTTGTATTTCCAAGTTATAGAGTTGAGAGAGTTGTAACCACAACTAAAATAGCTTTCTCAGCTGTAGTGGTCTTCATGGCCTTAGGAAGCTGAATTAAATAGCAATATTAATAATAATAATAACAATAATAATACTAATACTCAGTACCATCAGCCTGTTGCATTTTGTGTAAACATAAAACAAATGTCACATTAAAATGAGTGGCAACTTGGATATTTTTTTACACAAATTTTAAAACCAAAGCAGATCTAATGAAAAAGAGTTTTAACTTCTGACGGAGGAAGTTAGAGATAAAAATTAAGAAGTAAATTGCTATGTTAATAATAATAATAGTAAAAAGCAAATAACATCAATAAAATTTTTTAGGAATAGTAGCAATAACAACAGCTATAATTATAACAATGAAATAAGTATGAAATAACAAAAAGTAACATTTATAAACAATGAAATTAGCAATAGTTATGAAACAGTATTAACAATAAAAAAACAACAACTGCTAAACAATAAAGTAAATAATAAATAAGTCAAGAGAAATGCAAATAATATAATAATAATAATTTTGTAAATGTATATTATGTATAATAATATAATAAAACAAATAATCTAATAGATACAGTTTGAAAAAAATCACTTGATTGGCTGCAAGTAAAAAAGATGCTATTGGTACCGAAAGACACAAGTTCAAGAATTGTGCCAGAGCTCTTTTTATAGAATTTTTTTTTTTTATATAAATATGTTTAGATAAATGTTTTGATATAATTTGGTATATTAATAAAACCAGTTGCTCCAATTTTTATTTGACATTTAAATCTCAGGTATGATATTAAATATTTAAAACATAAATATACCTGATTTAAAACATAAATATAGTTTATTTAAAACATAAATATACTTTATTAAATACATATATATACCTGAATTAAAGCATAAATATACTTGATTTAAAACATAATTATATCTTTAAAAAGTATCTAATTTAAAATATAGATTTTATTGTATTAATTAAAAAAAATATGGTATTATTTTCTAGTATTGCAAAGGTAAAGGTTTACTGTAAAGTTTGTATTTTAAAAATGTTTTGAAATTTTATCTTTTTATCTTTTAGGTGATTCCTGTGATATTTTACAGAATTTTTTATAATTTTGAAAATTTTAAAATTTTCAAAATTTATCTATTTTAAAAATAGTATTTACCTGTAAATTTGTCAGTATGTTTTTTAAAAATAATATTTACCTGTAAATTTACCAGGTAAACTTTTATTTGTAGCTTTTGCTCTATTACCCCCCTGATATTATGATATTACTCTGATATTACCCCCTGTATTATGTTACTATTATCAACTTTAAATGATAAATATCAAAATAAATATTTCCTAACTTGTTTAGATTTCTTATTTTCACAAAATTCAAACATTTTAAGAAGAGGTATTTTTTAATAAATTATTTAATACATTTTTTTTTTATATTCAACATACATTATTTGCAAAAAATAATTGCAATTAAAAACTTTTAATTAAGAAGTAGTCTTCTATATTGTATTTTTACATTTATAATATTTTATGTATATATATATTTTATAGAGATAATTTCATATATTGAAAGACCATTAGCAAAAGGAAGTTTGTTAGCTGTTATTCCTAAGCTTGATAAAGAATATTTTGTTTCGTTTGATGTAAAACCAAACTCATTTAGTGCTGGATATAAAAACATTATTCATTTTACTATTGGTTCAGACGTGACAAGATATGGTGATAGAGTGCCCGGGGTGTGGTCTCATCATAGTGGTAATGGAGGTCTTCATATTGCAGCTGCAATCAATGGAAATGTTAATCGATATTTTGACACTGCACCAATTGCTCTTAAGCAATGGACAAATGTTGAAATAAGACAGCATCTTGAAGGAAATGCTTATATATATACTATAAAATTAAATGGAGAAATTGTGTTTACTGAAAAAAATAATGATGCTAGAAGTTTTGAAGATGTTAAAGTCTATGCGTCTGATCCGTGGTATCCAGTTCAAGATGGTTTTATTAAGAATTTTTATATTTTAAATCAGAATGATGGTAAATGTTTTATATTAGTTTAAAATATTATTTATAATTTTATTATTAACATTTATAACTTATTATATTATTTTAAAATTAAATGTATATATATGTATATACATATATATATACATATATATATATATATATATATATATATATATATATATATATATATATATATATATATATATATATATATATATATATATATATATATATATATATATATATATATATATATATATATATATATGTATATATATGCATATTATATATATTATATATATTTTATATATATATTTTATATATATATATATATATATATGTATATATATATATATATATATATATATATATATATATATATATATATATATTTATTTTGAATAATGTAGTCTTTAAAAATGGCAGTTTGTTTTCAGATATACATTACTTTTTATCTTTGTATAGATGTAATGAATAATGAAATTGAGAGCTCCTGTAAAATGATCTCTCCAAATGAGCGAACAGACTGTGGCTGGCCTGGAATATCAGAAAGTGAATGCAACAAACGAAGTTGCTGTTTTGATAGCTCTATACCAAATGTCAACTGGTGCTTTTTTTCAAGCAGTAAGTATAAGCAGTTTAAAAGGCTTACAAGAAATATTTTTTAAGTAAAAATGTGGTACATTTACATGGGAATAATCTTTTTTTTAACATTAGGATTTTACAATAAATTGTACAGGCATAAACTGCCTGTCAACCAAGTTTATTGACAATTACAGAGTTTGTATAGAGAAGCCATAGAGGAGCCATTCATTTTTTGATTAGATGATTTTCTAGAGGTAGTTTAAATGTTTTTAGAGATAATGCTGATACAATGTCATTAGGATGAGAGTTCCATTTATTTATTATTCCTAGAGAAAAAAAGTTTGTACGTAGATTTAATTGTGAAGAATGTTTTTTTAGTTTATAAGCATGACTACAAGTAATAAACTGGCTATCTATTTCAAATAGACTTTTATCACCATTTTTATTTTTGCACCATTTATAGACGTTAATTAGATCTGCTTGAACTACCCTGTATTTTACAGTTGTCAGATTTAACGCCAACAATTTTTGTTCATACGGTAGATCATATAATCTTTTGGTTTGTTTTAGAGCTCTTATCACATTTTCTATTTGTTGTTTGTCTTTGAGAAGTCCAGGGTTACAAATGGATCCATAGTATTCTAGGTGAGGGCAGACTAGAGCTGCAAATAGCTTTTTGGAGGATAATAAATCTAGATATGATGTAAATGTTCTTTTTTTTTATTCCTATTATTTGTGTTGCTTTGTTGACTTGAATAATTGTGAGTTCGGAAAATAATAAGTTCAAATCTATGTGAACACCTAAATCGCGTTCGCAATTTGTGGGTTTAATGTTTACTTTTTCTTATATTTTGTTCTGTATTATGCATATTATAAGTATGGGATTTGTTGTTGTGTCCTAAGTGCATTACAGAACATTTATCAATGTTAAGTTTCATTCCCAATTTTTGAGACCATGTAACAAAAGCGTTGATGTCATTTTGTAATTCTTGCGCAGATTGAGTATTTTCAATAGAACGGAAGATTTTGGTATCGTCAGCAAAAAGAACAGCTTATGATTTCATTACTTTATATCGTTGAAATACATAATAAAAGGCTGAAAGGAAGGAGCATTATTATGTTCAAACATATATATATATATATATATATATATATATATATATATATATATATATATATATGTATATATATATATATATATATATGTATATATATATAAACATATATATATTAAATATTAAAAGATAAACTTTTAATTACAAATATCCTTGCAACAGAGTTTTTTTTTAAACAACTGTTAATTTGTTTATAACTTAAAATTTTTATAACTGGCCATTCTGCATAATAGGATGATTATCTCTCTCAGTATTAGGGAGTTTGAAATATTTTTTATGAGTTATTTATTAACATTTCTGAAATCTTTACCTGATTCTTTTGTGCATACGGATGTACACAAGCATTTTCTATAACTTTAATTTTTAAGTATTATGTAGTTAGTTTTATATTTTGAAATTGAAATTAAAATTTTTACTATTTAAAGCTTATTATAATTTAAAATTAATCTAAAGATTTTTCATATTAATTATCTATACTATACTTATTAGAGATATTTAGTATAAATACCATATTTATAACAAAAGTAATTTTCGTAAATCAAATTTTTAATGGTTTATTTTTTGAAGGTATTATAATTTATCAAGTTTTTATTTGTTTCTCAAAAATTATCTAAAATAGCATACATAAGTTTGTAGGCTTTACGGCTACATTTAAAGGGTTTTTTATGGAGTAAAGGGTTTAATATAATTAAGGGTTTATGGTAATGGAGGCTTATTGTTGTTGTTGTTGTATTGTTGTTTAGGATTTACGACTACATTTAAAGGGATTGTTTAGGATTTACGGCTAAATTTACTAATATAGATTATAAATGAAGGTTATAAATGTATAATGGAGGTTATAAATGAAGGTTATAAATGTATAATGGAGGTTAATGAAGGTTATAAATGTATAATGGAGGTTAATGAAGGTTATAAATGTATAATGGAGGTTAATGAAGGTTATAAATGTATAATGGAGGTTAATGAAGGTTATAAATGTATAATGGAGATTATAAATGAAGGTTATAAATGTATAATGGAGGTTAATGGAGGCAAATGGAGGTTAATGGAGGCAAATTTCTAATAGTTGTAAAAGTATAAAAGTAAAAATATTTTTATTTATTTGATTTTGAAATAAATTTTAAACTGTTTTGTATTTTAGATTTAGTAAGCAATATATATTCATTTGAATCTTACAACTATCCTCAGTATCAAATTGGTATCAGAGACGATAAAACTGCAGCAATAATATTAAATAGTAATGAGGGTTATCGGATTGTTAAAGGTAAATAATGTTTTAACAAAACTCTTGAACTTTAACATTTATTTTTAATAATAAGTTTGTTGTGTTTGATGATTTTTTATAAATTAATGATTTTAACTTTTTTAGCTCTAAATGGGCAGGCTGATGCAGTCTCGTTTCAATCGGCTAAAAACAGCAAAATGTACCTACGTCATCAGAACGCTATTCTTCATCTGCATCCAATTGAAAGTAGTTCTGAACTTTTCAAAAACGATGCCTCTTTTATTATTCGTGAAGATAAATATTATACTGGCTACGTTTCGTTCGAGTCCACGAACTATCCTGGTTTTTTTCTTAGACATCAAGGTTATACTTTAAAACTTCATAAAGACGATCCTAACACTGAACTTTACAGGAAAGATGCAAGCTTTAAACTTAAGAAGTTATAAGTAGTTTAAAATCTTGTGTTACAGAATATTTATTTTCTGATTTAAATAAATTAATCATGTTGATTTTAAAGAATACTTGGTTATAATTTTTTCTTTTCCTATTCTTATTTTTAATTTTATTTATAGTTTGGATATAAATCTTTCATTTTTTTTTATTTTTATTTTCAAAACATTTTTGTTTTTGGAGAGTACCTATAGAAAAACTTTTAATTTCAAAAAATAATTTTCAGTTTTATATATTGTATTAATGGGTGTATTTATTAAACAAATGTGAATTACTGTATAATACATTTGTTACGTTTCCTTTCTTGCATTAAAGACAACTAACTCAACTCTCTTGTCATTCTCCACTAATCTCAAAATAATAACTGGATAGCGTATATAAATTTGATATATATATATATATATATATATATATATATATATATATATATATAAATATATATATATATATATATATATATATATATATATATATATATATATATATATATATATATATATATATTGACGTCCCACCGACGTCGTTTAGACGTCTTTGTTATGGTTGGCCCAACGTCGGCAAAAGACGTCGGATTGCCTGCGATTTGATCACCGGTTCCACGTCGGCCCAACGTACAGAAATTACTAGATTGCCGACGTTGATATTAGGCATCATTGTGAAGTTGGAAAAGAGCAGTTTTATCCAACTTTGTGTGAAAACGTCGCTGGCACAACGATTTCATTATCGGTACTACGTTAGCACAATATTAATATTGTTGTACCAATTAGATATATATCTGATGGAAAAGAAAAATTTTTCGGACACAGAAAGAGACCACTCAAAAATTTACTAAAAACGTGACTAATAAAAACATTTTGTTAATGATTAAATGTTAATTAATTAGTCATGAATGATTGCTTGCTTACCAACTGATTGATATATCAACAGTTAACATTTACAGTTGACAACTGTTTAAAATAATTTTATAAAGTCATAAAAGCCGATCATAAAAATATTATTGAATTAAGTTTGAAATTCGTTGATAAATACAACTTAAGTTTAAAATTAAAATAAAGATAACAAATTTGATTCATTGCCCTCCTATTTGAGACTGGGGGGAGGGGATAACGTTTTGGGGTTTTTGTTGTTCCCAATCTCTAATCACTACAATTTTTTGCATAGCATCCTCATTCCTCATATAAATGAACATACTTAAAAATGGAGTTTTCTTTAAGTCTCGAAGCTGTTTAACTGAAACATCCAAAAAAAATTGTCTACGGGCCTGTATTATTTTTTTTTTATCACAAATATAAAATAATTAATTTTACCACAAACAATTTCAACAAGGTACATTTTGCTAAATGCAATCTTATTTCCTTTTCCCTTCCAATTACATAACTTTGCTACATCTGTGACCAATAAAAGACTTAGCACTGCTCTGGTAGTTGACTTTACTTTGAGCCCGCCAACCAATCCAAGAATTCTTGTATATATAAAGTAGTATAAGGTAATAAGGATGTAAAAGATATAGGGTAAAGTTTATCACAATACTTGAAAAAACAAGTTTCATTAAGCTAAAATTTTTAATTAATGATTGAATATTACTTTAAAAGTAATTTATGTAATACAAAAAATACAATTTTATATTTAAAAATATCGAACTCGGTTTGCATATACATATCTTTTATGATTTGATTTAATGTTTTATTGTTAACTTAATTAGTATTATTAAAATAATTAATAATTTTATAAATACATAAATTATTTATTTGATAAACAATTTATGTATTAACTATTAAGTTTAAATAGAGCTTTACCAGTCTTCCTTTAATGTCGCTTTCTATAGCTTGATCGTTATTAAGGTTAAACTCTTCTTCAGTTGTTGCTGGCAATTGGAAAGATAATCCTCTTACTAAACTCTCTCCCTCATTTGTTTTTGCAAGGTGCTGTAAAAGACTTATATAGTTTTTTCTCCTTGTTCCTTAAGCTCGTCTCCTTGCGCTTTCTTCAAGAAGAAGAATTAGTTTCTGTTCTACAGCTAAAAATTATTGGAACTAGTGAGCTAAATAATTTAATATTGGCAAAGAAAGACTATAATTATAAATATTATTTAAAAAAAAAATTCAATATAATTTTTAAAATGATGTAAAGCATAAATTAAAAATTAAAACAAAATAACCATTGACATTCTGTAATCTATATATATAATCTATAATATATAAGTAATCTATTATTCTGATATAAAAAAAATTAGCAGTTAATAACTTAATATATACGTATTGCAGCTGAATACAGCCATCCATCTGAAGACCATAATGGAAATTCTTTTAAAAGTGGCTTTCCATGAGGTTTAGAAAATGATGACAGAATGCTAGACAGGCCACTTGATCTGCTTGTCACATGTTCTGGAGTGTTACAATTTAAGTGAGAATTTGAAAAAACAGGTGGCTCAGGAAGATCTTCGTATTCTTTATGGCTTTTTTGCGCAAGACTTTGGCTCGGATTTTTTTTCGGTTTAGCTAATTGCGAGTTCCCTTTTTGCAAACAAAAATTTATTTCCGGACTACTGCATATATCAGTCTCTGATAAAGGCAAGTATGAATTCCTAAAAATAAGCTTTTAGCAATACACAAAATTTAAAAGATATTGCAGCAAAATTTCAGAACTGAAACAATTTTTGTTGAACCACAAATAATTGTGATAAATCATTAAACTTAATTTAGTTTTACATACCGTGCTCGTTTTTGTTTACATTGCATTGTTCCATCGTCTACGTCTGAAACATCAGTCTCCAAATCAGATTTTTTTTTTGCTTTTGTAATATCTTTTACTGCACTTTCATATGAATCTAAACCCGTTTAAATGAAGTTCTATATTATATTTTAACTGATATGTCAGTTATGAGATACTACAAACAATAAGTATTTATTTCGTATGACAGCACATGATTTATTTGTATAATTGCTCATAAGCTATCAAACTTGTGTAAAACATTTTTATAAATATTAGAATTGTTATAAATTTTTTTCAACAATTGCAGCATTAAAAGATGCACAAAAATACCATAATTTTTCAAAATTCTTGCTTTGTAACTCTTCCATTTATCAGTTTCAACATCAACGCATGTCTGAACAGCTTTTAAATTTTTTTGCCGAGATTTAAATAGTGGCCAATAACATTCAAGATGTTCATCAACATCAGTACATTTAATCCAGGTTTTAGGAGCAATTTCCACTTCATCAGTGTCCAGAAAGTGAACAATACAATATAATCTATATATATTAGCAAGAATCTATAGATTAAATGCTTTAATAAACAAAAAAACTTTTTAACCGATTCAGTTATATAATCAAAAACAACATGTCAGTTAAATTTTTTTTTTCACAAAAAAGATATAATGAGGTGTTCACTTTCATTTATAGGTAAGCACACACATTTTGAAACTACATCTTTTATGCTATATATAGAAACTTTATCTTCAATTTTGACTCTAAAGGATATTCATAAAATGAGTCTGCGTTGCAAAAGAATTTTACAACTATATATACATCTAAATCTTTCTTAATGATGTTTTGAAGAATTCCAAATTTGCAAGTATTCAAAAATACACAGTTTTTATTTTTTGTTAATGATGGTTTTCGTATAAGTTTTTTAACACTTTGTAAGTAATTCTCAAAAGGAAAGGTGCTTATTTAATCTAATGCACCGAACCTACTAACATCATCTGGTAAATGAACCAGGCAGTAAACATTGTAAGTAATAAATTCTGGTCCATATAACTTCTGTGAATGCTGGACAAAAAATGTCAACAATTTTTGAGCAAAGTTGCACAAAGTTTACTCCTAACAAGACATGAAATGGCTACATGAAGAAGCAAAAAATTTTTGAACAAAATAAGATGCAAATTGTATTTAAGAACTAATGGACCAGTATACAACAAAAACAAACGAAATTCAATTGTCTTCCAACGATCTAATTCAGTGAGGGAACGCGGTTTTCGCATAAATTCATTTGGTATAGAACTACGTAACAACTTCTGGTGTTTACTTATTTTCATGACTTGTTGTGTAGATAATCTAGTTTTTAAAGGAAACTTGACCGAAAACTGTAATAACTTTCTCATGACACCTAAACAGACAAGATGCATGTAATCTAAGACAAAGTCAGTTGCCATTCCATAGGACAACTGTGTTAGAGGTGATTTAATATTGTTTTTATGATGATCTTCATACAACATATCATTAAATGCTTCATTCGTTCGAAGAGAGCTATTTACTTCTGGAAATGTCATTCTTCGTATATATTTTCCCGATTGAATGCAACGATCACAGCTATAATATCCACTATATAGCTTTGTATTTTTTAAAAATGACCGAGCAGGAGCATCGCACACAAAACTATGAATGCAAAATTGATAAAGTTTGTCTTTCAGTATTATTCCATTCTTTTCTAATTGAGATGTTTCAACTACAAATGAGTTTAAAAATTTATTAAGATTAGAAGGTTTGTTATATCCAGCATACAATCCAATTAGAAAAGGTTTACTTGTGTAACTTGGTTGTTTTAATAAACCAAGAATCAGCCACAGCTGTAAACCAATGCTTTTAAATATAGGTGAACCATCAATATTACATTGCATTGACAATTGAGAACAGCCTGATAGATTTACAAAACCTTGTTCACTTTTAAACAATTTTTGCAAGCATGAAGCAATTTCAAAATGATGATATATACCACCACTATTTAATTTTTCATAACTCGCATATCTTGGTGTTGACAATAAAGTCCTGGGGTCAAGAGGCAAAAAAGAATGATGTGGTTGAAGTATATGTAATAGAGATTTCAATGATTTGTGAGAAATATTTTTTTCAACAGCCCATTGAGCAAGATCATTAACAAGCAGTTCTTTATTACCATCATTGTCACTTTAATCAGTATCTGGAAAAATCTCAGATTCAGATTCCCATTTCACGTTATCACTGTCACTTTTTTGGAGATACACATTGTCATCCAATTCAGATGGGTGATTATTATCTATTTCATTATTATCTAAAACTTGATTATCATCAAACACATCTGCAATTTTACTA